GATGAAATTCCTTATTTTTTTCTAAACTTTGAACCTTCTCTGCAAATTATTGCCTCGCGAATTTTCAAAAACCTCGCTACGTTTCAGGCAATTTTCGACCACTTTTTTTGCCCATTTTGGGCGATACCTCAGCCATTATTTGATGAATGTTGATTTTCAAGGGCTCAAGAGTTAAAGGTTTATCCGCATAAACACAGTCTTTCGAGTAGCCTCATACACAAAAGTTCAGCGGTGTCAACTCGTACGACATTGACAAGGCCAAGACGAGAGATTATACCACTGGGAAATATCTATCGCAAATTCTTTCCAATTATGTAGCGTGTGGCACCATCTTCCTAAATTCACATATTGTCCATGTCATATTATCATTACGACCTTAACGCTCTGAATTGACAGCGACAGTCTCGCCGTTGTCAAAGAAGAGGATTAAAGTGCATGAGACAGTAAATTTACTTGGGTGTAATGGACTCTCTCCAATTATATTATTTGAGGATTCGCGAAGCTCTAAATGTAACAATTTTCTTATTGACGGATGCCCAGCGTGAGAAATAAGTCTCGTCGCTGAAGCAAATTCGAAAAATCAACGTCTGCTGCTTGTTATTCAATCAATATGTCCCAATCGACATGTGAACACTGTTGTGAGTGGTCAGCTGATTTAAGTTGTTGTTGGAGCTGAACTTTAATCGCCATAATTCCAAAGTTTCCCAGCTGTTGAGGACGTTGAAACACATTCGTGTTTCCGGCTACGCTTTCATTTATATAAGCGATATTTGAGGTGGAACGAGGCAGGCACTGGCCTTACAATGTTTGTAACTGACCGAGTCTCCTCAAATTTCTTTAAAAAATTTTCAATCTCTTAAGTAGTTGGACAGTTTGAATCCCATTTCTTGTAGTAGTTTTTAACAATTTTAACGCGTTTTGAAATCGCTAAGCAATCCATTCTCAGAAATGCCGGACTTTAAACGAAAAACCAAAAAGTTTGGTTGGTCACTTAGTTTTGAGAGATTTCAAAATATACACGTTTACTTTTGAAACCTCGAAGTGGACGATCCTATAGAACAACAGATTACATGGCTGTTTTTTGGCTCAGTGGTAGAGCGATCGCCTGTAATTTTGCGATCAGTTGGTGCGATCTCTGTCATAAGACAACAGCTGTCACTGTTACCATTTTCCTTTGTTATAGAGAGTGATTTTTTTAGCTATTATATTTTTGATTAAACCAGTGTTGCCGGCTACGCACGTTTCGTGTTTTGTATCACTGTCAAACATCTTCAACTTGGAAAATGCATCCAGCAAAAGGCACATTTTGGTGCAGTTCATGGGCTGATGACATCATTTTTCTTCAAAGGTTATGCGAATCGTTACGTAACTGTGAATGATGAGCACCACCGTGAGATGATATCTAACTTTTTTTTTGCCCATAATGCAAAAGCTTGACCTGCATGACATGTGGTTTCAAAAAGGCGGTGCCACATGCCACACCGCGCCTGTAATAATGAACTTATAGAGAGGCGAGTTCGGTGAATATTTTACTTTCGCTCGGGACTGGTTAATTGGCCGCCTAGATCGTACGATTTGACGCGTTTAGACTATTTTTTGTGGGGCTATGTTAAGTCTAATGTCAATACAGACAAGCTCGCTTCATTGAGATACCAGCCGAAATGTTGGAAAGAGTATGCCAGAATCGGACAAAGCGGATGGACCACTTGAGGCGTAGTCACGGTCAATATTTGCATGGAATAATTTTCAAACATTAAATTAAATGGACCGTTCTTCCGAGTCAAATAAAGATTTCATGCATTTTTCTGAACTTTATGTGTTTTTTTTAAACATTCCTATAGCTCTTAAAAAATCACCCTTTATAACAAACTATTCAATTAAAAAAAACCAATAGGCCTGTATTGAGACTTTTTGTTTGTGTTTATATGGGCACAATAATGATAGATATTTGAGATTAAAATAAATAAGTAAAAAAGGCTTAATGAGAAAATATTTTTGAACAGCGCTGCCACCTTTTACAAAAATTGAATTCAATTCATTCTAATCATTTCACTTGGTGGCGAAGAAATTTTTAAAGAGCTGTGCCATATTCTTCAGAAATTTAATGCAAAGAAATTTAATTGAAAAGAGGATATTAAAATGAGGGTATTAAATTTAAAGAAGTAATTTCGATGTAAAAATATGTGGGAGGGCAACGTGTTAAATCAAAAGATCACGGTGATCAATTCCAATCTGCTCTCCGAGAGATATAAAGGTTCGAAAACTATTCTCTCAAAATATCGATAGTTTCGTTAGTTGCCTGGCAAGTAAACATTGTCCAGATCAGTGCCCTTTAATATCAGTCATAAAAAGCCATTAATCATCTCTCGATTGCGCAATCCAAGAATCTAAGAAAAGACGTTGCTGATGATCGGCGGGCTTAACTTCTTATGTTAACTGAACTTTACGAGGCTTAAGACCCAAGTCTTAATTCAAAATGTAATGATGTTTTTAAAAATGTTCAATCCCAAAGAGCAACCAGGAAGGCACAAACCTGGGTTTTTTGAACGCTTAGGGCTACAGCAGCAGAATTGAGTATAATATCAATGTGATGTTGAAAAGTGCATCGCTCCACTTTTATTACTGTCGTAGTTTTTACATCTACCGGAAAAAGATCTTTACATATATATATGTATATGTATCTTACATTGAAGTATTATGCACTAATGTTTTTGGAGCTTTAGTTCCGTTTAAATAAGAAGAGATTAACAAGAGTTAAGTCATTTGGTGCCTTTCAATTTGTTTTTATTAAATCTAAAACCACCAAATCCTTTGCCATGATTTTATTAGTCTTCGTTTCTGATTTAAGAACGATCGGATAGAATAGAGACGTGAAAACGCAAGATAGCTGAGGATACGTTACACGAAATTCCACCACCAACGCAAACAGAAATTCGCCATGTGGTTATATTCAAGGTTCGGCGTAATTTATGATCAATACAAATAACGAAGTGAATATCAAGTCGCATATGAAACGATTCCTCCATCGTACAAGACATTTTTCCATAGAGGACGAGTCCCGAGAAGGTCGAACAACAATGATTGCTATTAAATTGGGCTTGAACTCCACAGTTGTGTCGCAAACGTTCAGTAATCATCTGGGATCCACGAACCGGATCGATGGGTACCACGAATTTTAAATGAGGCCCGAAAAGAGGTTCGAGTGCGTTTTGCTCAATTTTTACTAAATAAATTCGAAAAACAAACTTTAGTAAAGTCGTCACTGGTGACAAATTTTGGTTCTATAATTACGGTCTAGAACCCAAACAGCAGTCCATGGTATGGAACCCAAAAGCAGCAAACCCACCGAGCCTTAAGAAATGCCTTGAAATCAGTAGCAATTACGTAGAGCAAACAAAAAAGAACAAAGATTACGAATAAATACAAAAAGAATTTTTTTACCCGGTCAACTTACCGTACTTTTGTGAATCCCCTCGTATGTGCATACATATGTATATAGACATTCATTTCCAACATGATAAAATGTTATATTAGTCTAGTCCCAAGGTTTTATATTTCCATTTGTGTGCCTCCAACTAATTATGTGTTTGAAAACTACAACCAAAGTGTTTTTCCGAGTAAGAGAAGTTAGCACTTCAGCAGATTAACCGACGTGTTAACGCGGAACGGCTGCCCCGAGCTACCATCAGCACTCGCAAGATTAGCGGGCTCTACGCCCATTCAGAGCTCGACGATGAGCGTTTTATGCAGTGAATATTGCAGAAGACAAGCAAAAACAAGAAATAGATATTTCCCCATTGCACATGTATGGGTTACCAAACCTATTATAGCGTGGAACATTTTGTGTTCGCATTAACTGCTTTCGGCCGACCAATCAGCGTAAAGTAAATTCCCCTCGGGCTTTTGTTGTTTTTCTGCGGTGCTACTGTTGCGCTGCTGCAATTGTTTACAATCTGTTGGATGGGCTTATGAATGAAACGAGTTTTTCAATACAACTTTTGTTGCCCGCGTAGAGTGGTGGCGGTGGTGGTGGCTTTTTACTGGTAGTATGTGTTGCGAAGAGAGTTGAAAGAGTATTGGAAATGGGTTTTCTTAAGTAAAGAGAATCAAATTTAAAATATCTATCAGTTTGATCAACAACCAAAGCTGGTTTCTCAAACAATCATATGCATACAAACGTATGTATGTACACTTGTATGGCAGTAATCACAACGACCAATGAGATGTGCCGATCAAGTTTTTGTTTAAAATTCGTAATAATAAATGATAATTATCACTCGTCCATAGAGATTTTCTAAATTATATCTATATTTTTTGTTAATTTATTCTGAGAACTAAATTAAAAAAAAACAACTCAATATTGTGCTTAATTAAGTCTAATATAAATTTGAACTTCACAGCTGCTGGCTCTCTGATTGAACTTTCCAAGCCAAACCTGCTCGAGTTGCCTTCAAACCACCACCCAAAGCACCATCGAACATCGGGTCGTATACTTTGCCACTCCAAGTGGACAAGATGCTGGTGGCTATGTTTTATTACCGTGGGACGGGTGTTATTTGCCTTCGAGCTGTAAACGGAGTCGGTTTGTTTTTGGGCGTTGAACGGGTAAATGCGTGACGGTTGTGGCAGCAGTATATTTGGATACAAACGGATATACCAGTGTGCACTCAGACAACATACATACGTATATACACACTTACATGCATATGTGTGCATACATTGGTTTAAATGCATACATACATATATATATATGCATATGTATGTAGTATCGACAACAATAAACGCGTGTGAGGTGTTCTGCGGCGAGTTTATTGCTTTTGCTCGCGGCAGCAAGTGTGAGTTCCTCATTTGTTGCAAGCGCTGATGCTGCAACGAAGCATACATGTACATGTACATATGTGTGTAGAAAGAAAATAAATTGAATTATAAAAGAAATAAATAAAAAATGCAAAGTGAACTAGTGAAATGAAATGGAAATTGTGCGTTGAAAGGAATTTAAATATACAAAAATCAAAAAATTAAAAAAAAAAAAACACACACTCACACACAAGTACAAATCAATTGGATTTTGTAGACTGAGCGCGGATTCCAAAGCTATGCTGTTTGTATCGTCCGTTGAATGAAATAATCACAACAATAAATAAGTGCCGGTTACTAACTAGCTTTAGGCTTTTGACAAGGAATATAATTTTTGTTTGTGGTGTTTTGGTGAATGGTGGTGAGTGGCAAAAATGATTTCTGTGAGTTTAGCGGTAAGAGCAATTATTAGTGCGTACATACATACATAAGCAAGGTGTCGATGAAAATGTGACAAACTAAGAGTGAGCTTAGGGGATAGGCTATATAACTGTAATCAAATCATTTTAATCACAAACTAATCATGATATAACACTTTTGGTGCGGCTGAAGAAACCAAGGACCTAAACTTCCAATAATGCCAAAAAAAAATTATATTATACATGAAAAACAGCAAAAAAAAAATATTGAACAAAAATAGTAAGCAAAAAAAAACAGAATGAATGAAAGAGAATAATCTAAAATAAAATACTAATAAAAAATAAAATTAAATTTAATAAAGCTAACGCATTCATTATATACCTAAAACTGAAACAATAAAAAGTAAAAAAAATACATGCATATACGTACATATGTATATATATACAAAGTTCAAAATAGTAATTTTCATATTAAACAAAAAAAGTGATTTTATAATTTGCTGCAATAAAATGTAAATATTTTTATATTACCACAAATTTATACATTTCAAGTCAGCGATACAAACTGATAGCTGAATTTTAAGATAAAAATTTCAAATAAAAAGTGTTTCATGCGAAAATTGTTTCGAAAAAAAAACTAAATTTATAATGTTAATTCTAATTAAATAAAAAAAAATCTTGAGAATGTGTTTGTGTTATGTGCACTTGTAAATACAAATATGAAAACTAGTCTTCCAGACAAAAAATTTGCGGTGAAAAATTAATACGTACATAAATATAGTATTAAGCAAAGGATTCACACAATTTTAGTACGTGTCAAAAACAAAAAAAAATAATTTTAAAAAAAACTCTTTAATACTGCAAATAAGTGAAAAAATTAGTGAAGAGCATACAAATTTGAAATAATCTGCCAAAAAAAAAAACAACAATATATCAAGTTATAGCAACTCGGATCAGTAATCTCATAAAACATTTTTCGGACAATAATTTTCAAATGTTTGACATTTCTGTTATAAACGAAATTGAAATTGTTTACATTTTTTCAATTATGTTAATTAAATAAATTTTTTAGTTCTAAGTTATTCCATCAAAAAAGCCATATCAGAAAATCGTGGTCAAAGTTGCTCTATTTCAGCTTATAAAACGAAAAGTAGAGCAAACAAGTACAAAAAAGTTTTCCTGAAAGACCATTTTTTAGATAGAGTAACCTGGCGTGATTTAGGGCAGCTCAATAAGCCAAACTTTTTAGTAAAGCATTAAAAAATTTAATTAAGTTAAGTTAAAAAAGTACGAAAAAGAATAAAAAAATACAATAAAAATAAAAAACAAAAATTAATTGAAAAAAATAAACTTTATTGAAATACAATGAAATAAAATAAAAATAAAAAAAATAAAAATAAAAATATAAATAAAATAAAATAAAATTAATTAAAAGGCAGTAAATGAAAATCGCTAATCATAAAGAGTATAATCAATTTTTAGAAAAAAGTGGCAATGTCTTTCATTTTATCGATGAAGCTATAGAAAACTGGTACAGAAAAAATTCAATAAAATAATATAATATGAAAGAAATTAAAAATTATATTAAATTAAAAAAACTAAATGATATAAAATAAATATAAAAATTTAAATAAAAAAATAAAAATTAAATAATTAAAAATAAAATTTATTAATTAAAAATAAAATTAATTAAAATGCAATGAAATAAAATAACTTATCAAAAAAAATAAAATAGAAATTAAATTAAATTAAAAACAATAATAGAATACAAAAAAAAAAATCAAATAATAGAAAATAAAACAAAAAAAAAAAAAAATAAAGTAACCAAGAGTAGTTCAATAGACAAAACTTTATTAACAAAATACTAAAATCGACTTTTTGAATTATAACTTAACGAACAAACAATTCTGATGATACCTAAACATATTAAAATGAAAGCTTAAAATTCAAAAATCCAGTATTCCAATTTAATTATGCCAAAGGAAAACTTTTTTTATAATAAAAAAAAATTTAAAAAACAGTGTGAAATTGAAAAGAAAATTTTGAAAATTTCAATATCCCGGTAGACAATTTTCATATTATTTCTATCAAACGAACGATTCCACAATTTTTTTCTTTGTTCATTTTAAAATTAGCTTTTAAAAGTATTATGTTAAGTAATGTGAACGAATTTCCATAAATCAAAAAATATTTTTTTTTTTTTTTTTGTAAAATATTTTAAACGAATTTTAGGTAAGCTGTTTGACTTACGTATTTTAATAAAAATAATTGCAAATGTCGCACGTGAACTCATAAAATTGCAAAACATTTACCGTCGGTAATTCAACGAAAAAAGAGAATTAAAAAAAAAATATATATAAAATTGAGAAAACTGAACTTACACACTTGAAGATTTTCTGAAAACAACAACTACTAAACATGCCCACAACAATTCCTGTCAAATCCAACACTTTACGGACTTGGCATACAAATGCGCTGCTCTTATTTATGATAATAATTACAGTTACTTGTGTTTGTTTTTTAGCATGCAAATTAATAAATAATAAACATAAATATTGTGAATATAAAAACATAGTTATATCTGACGTGTTTATCACTCTGTGCGTAAAGAAGTGCAACAAATCCCGCAAGCAAACCCACTACTATTGACTCGTCAACTTGATTCTAGATATGGGCAACAACAACAACAACAACAACAACAACAACAACAACAACAACAGCTGATGGCATGCCTTTACTCGAGTGTAGTTGCTGACAACAATATTGAAGCGACTCATGAAATTGAAGTGAATATGGTGTTTAGCGTAATTTCCGGTCACTGCGACTGAGCGGTTGACGTTGCCCGCAGCAGATGCGTCTCAATGAAGCTGCATCCAGAGCAGTTGATTTGCTTATAATTCTCATGGAAATGAGAGTATAGAAAAAGAGTAGTAGACATACGACATGACATATATGTAGCAGATATTTGAGGAAATGCGTACAAAGTGACATGCTTAATGGGGGCATTTAGTGCGTGAAATATCTTAAAAACACATTTAATTTGTATACAAGCTGCTATGCGTGTTATCTGTAAGAAAGTTCAAAATTATAGTACGTGAAAATTTTTTAACACAAACCGGCTTCCAGCTATTTTCAATCATTTTAATTAAAAAAATATTTATTTTCTGCAAAATTAATTTTCATAAAAATATTTTCGTGGAAAATCAATACTAAAATGAGTATGTTTATATGTTTTTTTTTTAATATTTTGGTTAAATAATGAATTTTCTTTATATCCATTATATTTATTTATTCAAAAAGCAACAAATTTTTGTTAATAATAATTCAATTAAAAGCAAAGTGACAAGTTGTTTGAGCTAAATTTTTTCCCAGAGAACATAATTTATATTTACAATCTTTGCGCTGAACCAATTTCCGGCCGATCTTCTGCTCGAACTTGTGTTGTAGGTCTGAATGTCCTTACAATGATCGTCAAAACCTTCAGTTTAATCTAAGCCATCTCTGAACGACTGATGCTTTTATGAGGAGCTTTTTTATTTCATGTCAGACATATACTCGGAGAGCTTGACAGAGCAATCGTATTTAGAAAAATGAGTCTTCTTACAATAAATTCCCTATAATTTTTTTTTACCGCTTTGGAAAGGTTTCGAACTTATGACTCCCCACATGTTAGTACGTACTGCCAACCACTCGACTAATGCGGAAGTACAAAGCAAAAGAATTATTCATGTACGAATATGTGCAGAGGAAGAAGACAATAAGGCGATTGGTGTTGACTCGCATTATAAGAAAATCGATGCTGGCCCAATCAATACATGCTTTAACGCATCGGAATTATGCAAATTGATACTCCACGTTCTTAAACACTTGTTGCAACTAGCAACTGAAACAACAAAGCATTATACATAAATATTAAAGAAGCGGTGGATAGGAGGGCCATACCGGATTTACCACACTCACAAACGAGCAATTTGCGGTGGCTGCTTCAAGTTGCCATTTGTGGTCGCAACATCTATTGGCAGCGAAGCCGACTGAATGTGTGTAAAAATGTCTGATTGTAGAGTGTGCGCAGGCGCTTTGCGGTTGATGTTCTTCTCAGCTTAACTCGATGTCATCACTCATTCATTCATTCATATGAACAGACATGGCACCCCTGCCGTGCTCATCTGCTACGCTGCACTTGTTGTCGCTGCTCATGTCATTTGCTGTCGTGTATCTTCTGACGTTGTGACGTACGAGTGTATATTTTTTTTTGCTTTGTGTTTGCTGTTGCATATTTAATAGGCTTTAATTGAATTGCATTTGCATTATGCGGTTGTGTTGGCATTAGAGGTTTTGCTATTTATTTTTAAAGGAGACGAACTTTTGTTGAAGTGTATTGACCGTGATGATAAATTAAAAACAAACATAAAATGAAAATAAATAATAAAAATAAATCAATTAAAATAATATATAATAAAATAAAAAAAAACAATAAAATAAGAGAAATATCATAAAAACAAATAAAACTAAATTAAATAAAAAGATTTTAAACTAAACTAAATTTAAAATTTTATATAATTAATATAAAATTAAATTATATTAAATAAAATAAAACAAGATAAAGCAAAATGAAATAAAAGCTGTAAATAAAATAAATAAATTAACTATGTTAAAATTAAATAAGATAAAATAAAATAAATTAATTAATATACAGCTTAATTAAAAAAAAATTAATATAATATAATTAATTAAAATAAAATCATATAAAATAAAATACAACAAAACAAAATAAAAAATATTAAACTAAAAAAAATTCAAGAAATTTAAACTAAATTCAACAAAATAAAATAAAATGAAATAAAATAATATAAAATTAAAAAATAAACTGAAATAAAGTAGACTATAATAAAGTTAAATTAATTTGAATAAACAAAAACAAAAAAATTAAATTAAATAAATTNAAATTAAATTAAATTAAATTAAAGTAAATTAAATAAAATGAACTAAAATAAAATATATTGAAATAAAATATAATTTAAAAAATTTATATGAAATAAAATAGAATAAAATAATGTAAACTGAAAAAGTAGAATTAAGTAAAATAAAATAAATTAAAATAAAAAAGTAAAATTAGTCAAATTAAAATAATTTAACTTAAATGAAACAAAGTAAAATAAAACTATATAAAATAAAGTAAAAGGAAAGCAACAATGAAAATAAAATAGAATGAAACAGAATAAAAGAGACTAATATAAATTAAAATAAAAATAAATTAAAATAGAATAAAATAAAGTGAAATCAAATAAATTAAAATAAGATAAAAATTAATAATGCTAATTTAATTAAAAAATTAAAATTAAAAAAAAAAAATGAAATAGTCCATTAGAAATAGAACAACGAAATGAAATTTAAAAAAAAAAACCGAAATAAAATTAGATTAAATAAAATAAATTTATATAAAATAAAGTAGATAATAATAATGTAAAGTGAAATAAAATAGAATAAATCAAAGAGGAATAATATAAAATAGAATAAAGTAAAATAAAATTAAATAATTAAAGTAAGTAAAATTAAATAAAACGAGAAAAATCAATTAAATTTAATAAATTAAAACAAAGTAAAATAAAACTAAATAAAATAAAATAAACAAAAATAATATAAAATAAACAAAAAGTAAAATATTAAACAAAAATAAAATAAAATAATCAAATCAGTTTGAAAAAATAGCTGCTCTTTCATTAAATTATAATCAAAGTAAATAATATCAACACACAACATATAAGCACAAATAATATGTTAATGAAATAATCGCACACTTGTACTTTTCACCAAGCTTTCGCTCAAATTTCGGCTGTTTTAACAATGAAAAGGCACAAATTACTAAAACTGAGATTTATTTCTTTTTAATTCTTTAGATGCTAAAAACTTATACAAAAGTATGTATCCAAATGCATGAATATATGTAGGAAGATAAAAATTAAGTGTACACATGTATGTAGATATGTATGAACACGAGCACGAGCACTTATAAGAACCAGCTACTGAGCGAATGGATTTATAATCAGCTGTGGCAGCGGGTACATAATATAATCAGCAATACAACAACATGAAAGAGTAAAATCAACAAAAAAAAAAAAAATAAAATAAAAATAAAAAATTCACTATATACACATAAAAGTGTAAATGCAATGTGGCAGCTCTTCTAGCAACGAAAAAAAAAAAATAACTAACAACAATAGTACTCAGCGTGATAATGCATATATGAAAACATAAAAGCAAGTGTGCAAAGGCAAAGGCAATGTAATTCATAGAATTCAACAATAACAAAGCAAAAAAATTAAAATAGAAATTAAGTGTTGTGTGCGTGATACATACAATAACTACAAAAAAAAAATTATATAAATGGTGATATGTTATAGAGCAATATTGTTGATAATATCATCGGAAATATGAATAATTAAATAAACATAATTTCGACAAAAGATGTGCAATTCAAAAGTGAATTAATTGAGTATTTAGCAAAAACTTGAAGTAAAAGTGCTATGAAAATATGTATATCATTTTGCCAACTGTATATGTAGTGGTGCATTAAATAGGCTCTAATAGCAGAGAAATAACAACAAAAAGCGAAAGCAACAATCGCCAGAGGCTTTACGCGTAGCACAACGTATGCAGCGAAGTTTTCAGTTACTCTAAATATCAGCATGTACAGAATGTTCACAAAACACTTCCGCCGGAAAATGCGGCACAGCGACACAGTAACCGCGCTCATCATTTATATTCTGCTCGCCCTGATACAAAAGGTTTGTACACAAATGTGTTTGGTTTGAGTTTTTAGTCAAATAAACTCGATTAGAAATTTACACTATTTTTATTAATAGCAAATAATAAATATAAGATCCTGCTTAATTCGGAAGTTAAAGAGTCTGGAAAGGTGTTTCTTCATTTGTTTTCTTATTGACCGTTGTGAAGTAAAATATGTTTTTTTATTTTTTGTGTGCTCTCTTCTAAAAGAAGTTTTTCTTTAAATCTCGAAAAATGACATAAAAAAGTTACAAAGTTCTAAATTTCACTAATTTGACAGTTTCTCAATATTAAAAATTGATTATCGATAATTGTTTAAGAAGATTTTAGGGATGGCATAATTTATTAGGTCAAAATGAATGAAACATAATTATTAATAATTATACATAATAATTTAATTTAATTTGAATGCTTTTAAAAAATAAATTAAATAAAATACATACTTACATATGTTTTCTGATGCAAATTCAGCTGCACACTTTATTAATTTTGTCTTAAAATCAATTATTAATCATATTAGCAATTACATTAAGAAAGAAGTGAGCTGCGGTGATATGGCAAAAGAGCTGTCACAGTTGGCAATCACACAAATGGTTTTTTGATATCTATTTTCTTAACTCTTGGAAGCTCAGTGAGATTGTTATGAACGTCAAGTCGGATAGAGATCCAACTGTATAAAGCGCCGATATGCCTTTTAGCTTAATATCGATATTTTGAAAAATCTTTGAAAAATTTTTATTTTAAATAAGGCAACCGATTTTGAATCAAACCGAAACGCACCAGACCTCATTTTCAGCTTTAGAGAAATGTACAGTGCACAGTGCGTTTGAAAGCAAGCAATATTGTAGTCAGTTTTACTCGATGTTGCCCAGGCACCTTCTTTGTTTTTATGCGTCAATAAAAATCGCGATCTTAAGACTTAAAGCTGTATTTTCTATTTCATTAAAATCTTTCTTTAATTTTGAGAGACTCTACATAAGCGGAGGTGTACGTTTCCCATCAATATTTATGTCTTACTAAAAAGCTTCTTTTCTGGCAAAAAAATCAGAGTTAGGCAAAAATAATGTAAAGAAAATAATATAAATAAATACTTGCTGATTATCCACAATGAAGTCTTATATTAATTCCCTCAAGCAATCTGCGCACAAGGAGTAACCCCGGCTTATCAACTTTTGCAAAACCCCATTACGGTCTTTTATAAATTATGCCAACATTAAAAAAAAAAAAATTGCTACCTACTTGGAGAGTTAAAGACAGTATATTTAATTAATATTTATTCTAAAAAAAGACACATGTCCCCTATATTTTTAAAAATTTTAATATAATGAATTCACTACTTACTTTGCAATTACTTTAGATAAAAGACTCACCCAAAAAGAACAACGTAGTTCAAAAAAATACTCAAACTTACATTGGATACATATGGGTCCCAAGTTAAGTTTAGAAAGCAAAGTATTACTTTTTATTTTTTTTAATACAAATTCATCATAGATGTACGGAATTAATGTTTGAGGCTCGGCATATGAAATGTGACCCCTATGGAATTTAAAGGCTGCTATCTAAAACCTTGAGGATAGTAGTGCCAGAGCTATTTTGATATGTGAAGAACTCCGTACAGAGGAGATAGAAAAACTGTGAATCAGATAAACAATTTTTTGATTTTGCCGTTTTTCAAGAATTAAAAATGCCAGATTTAATCTAGTCTTCAATAATCTTGAAATACTTCACTAACAAAAAACTCGTTCAATGGAAAGTGAAAATTTCAGACAGAAAACTGAACTTGTAGGTTTCAATAGAAGGTAAAAGCCATCTGCTTTGAATCTCCCTTCCTCACAGCCATCGAGAGCGCTTTTTCCACTGAGTTTGAATACCTAGACAAAATTTTAATTTTCTTCAAGCTCACATGGAACCAGACACAGTAGTAAGGTATACATAAAAAAGCTATAACTGCGCTGTACGCCTGCAAGGGGACGATCTCTAAGACTTGGCGACTAAGACCACGTTTTGTGTACTGGCTAACGGTAGTAAGACCCATATTATATTACGGAGTCAATATCTGGTGATCAGCCCTAGCCAGAGAAGCCTAATTATAGGAGAAAGCTACTGTACTTAAGCTAGCTACTTAAACGGCCTGCAAATTCATTTCAGGTGCACTGTCCCCAACTTTTACGAAAGACTAAATGCAACTCAACCATTGAGAAACCGCATAGGACACGCATAAATATTAATGCCTACACCATGCCGTCATTGTTTTGACAACACTTTCTCAACCCAAAATCCTAAAGAAGAACGAATGTACATTTTCCGATCTTCACCGACAGTTCTGAACTAGATGGTAGGTTGTGGAGTTTACTCTGAAACTCCTGCTTTAAGATGATTTAAAAGACTTCCCGATCACTGCAACGTCTTTCGAGCTGAACTAACCGCGGTAAGGTAATCCACTGCATGGTTGCTCGTTTCTTATACAATAACCCAAGCTTATACTCCGACAGACAGACAGTCTGCCATTAAGTGTCCCCAATGCAATCATACCACCTCAGAGGTGGCAATATGCAGAGAGAACTCAAAGAAACTCTCTACCGTAGGCACAATGTTTGTCCCTGTTCATAGTCACATCCGAAGGAACTGCGTAACCGACGAATTGGCCAGAAAGGGAATAATCAAAAACACGGTAAACTCTCTACTCCATATGACGTTGACATACCGCTTTCCTGGGCAGAGGGTCTGCTAAGCTAGCCTTCAACAGAAGGCTAAACAACAAATAGCAGTGTGAAGCCACGTGTAATGTTACAAGACAAATTTGGCTATTGGTCGCGGTAAATAAACCGAACCTCCCATAAGCAGAAAAACCAAAGTAATAACCGAGCACGGTCCTACAGGAACTCAGGATAGAAGAATGGGCTGCTTCTCAAACGCAGCTGCAAAGGATATATATTTAAAGAGGAACCGGTACAACAACACCTCTGCCACTGTCCAAATCTGAGAGCAGTTCTTTAACGTTTTCTCGCAAATTTCATCTTCAATTGCCTTGTAGAGCTTACATCTGTTGGCAACATTAAACTACTGATTTTCATAAAACACACCAAGTGGTTAGAGCTTTTGGAAAGTTCGGAAGGAATATTTTTAACAGCGAGCCAGTTTTTGCCGTTTTGAAATCTCAAATAATAAACAGGTTTAATAGTCAAAACCGGAAGTTAGTACGCCTTTTCATTCTCCCACAAAAAATTATAAACTTAGTCTGATTTTGGCCCAATATCAGGGTAGGGTCCCTTTAATTGGCCCAAAGGTGCTTGATTACCCTAATCCCGTGATTAAAATTAACTAATTAACAATGGAGTTTATCTATTTTACTACGCTATAAAGTACTCATTTAAATTGTTGTGTAGTGGATTTTAATGCAAAACATAAAAGTGTTCGTTGTGTTTTGGCTTACCCTTTTTATTTATTATCATCATTAAATTGGTAAATCAAAATCATTAAATAGTCTAAAAATATTGTGAACAAAATATAAAGTAATTTACTGTAAAAGTAATAAAATACAGTGGCAAATCCATTGTAGTTGTATTATGCAACAGTTTCTGCTATATACAATATATATATATTTCTAACTAAATGCATTTATCTTTCATTGTAAGGACTCGCGGGCGCGCACCAACAAACTATTTCGTGGAAATTAAGTACACACATTTTTAGTTTTTTTTTCATACACATATATGTATATATATATACATATATATGTATACTTATATATATACCGATTTTTATACTAAAGCTATGTTATCAATTAAGCAGCCATTCGCTGCCACTAGTTGCCATAGTAAATTGTTTATAATCAAAATTAAATACCAGCAATAAATCTACTACAACAAAGTTGCTACAAAACAATCGCGCGCATGCTTATGTACATAAGTACATACATAGACGCACAAGCATATATAGGTATGTTTGGACACACTGACAAGGGTGTATATCACGCGCACCTTGGGGCACCTGGACATTGAATGTTGACTGTCGACTGTTTACTGTTTTACTGGCGCTGATGTGCCACTAAAAATTCTTATCCCACCAAAATGAGGCAATAAAATTGATGATTCACATTTGTTGTGGCTTAAGTGGGAAAAGAAATCAGAGTTATGTAACAGTGTATGAGTATGTGTAAGCGTGTCGTTGGAAAGGTATTTAAAATAAAAATGTGTTACTGTGCTTCTAGGGAGTTCAAAGTGGCTGATTCGTTTCATTTCAAATAAAAAAAATTTTTAAAAATAAAAAAAAAACACATTCCTCCCCATTGGTGGTAGCGACAGGGTTTACAACATTTATCTATATAGGTCTTTGTGTGCTCCTCAATACATCAAGATCTTCTATAGACGCCAAACATATTAAAGCATTTATTAAGTTACCAAATAGTCAATGTTAATGGTTAATGAAAATCCTCAATGTCTAACTAAGGGTTCACCTATAATGGTGATTAAGATAAAGTTGTGGTATTTATTGCTTGTTTTCGTGTTGTTTTTAGCTCCCTCATAATATTATTGAGCTGTGTTATACCTTATTAATATACATGAGATGGCGTATGGGAGCTTCTTCTTTGTCTTCCCCTACTTCTCCACAGTGCACACAGCGTGCCTGATCTCCTGGCATTCCAATGTAGGAAAAGGCGGTCCTTAATTAAATTAAATGAATATACACATTTTGTTCTGCTAAGTTGATTACTTATTCGGGGGGGCCCACGGAATCATCATCTTTTTTTTTTATTTTTTTTTTGAAGATCTTCGGAGGAACGCTGTACTGCTTTCATTAAGTTGCTGGTCTGTGCGTCATTAATTCAAGTTTAATTTTATTTTATTTTTTTTTTTTTACTTTTGTTGACTGTATTTGATACGTACGAGAGATAGGAAGATAACTGAAGCAATTGGGTTTTTTTATACCGTTCTCGTCTAATTGCATAAAAGTGGTCACCGATGTCAGTTTTAGGAAGTCACATATTCCCTTTCATTTT